CTCCCCCCTCCCCCCCCCCAGCCACTCTGCCCCCCAGCTTTATCCCCAGGCACTCCCTGCCCCTGGCCAGACACCCTACCCCCAGTCCTCTCCTGCACCCTCCCTCATGGCCAGACACCTACCCCCACCCTGCTCCTGCATCCACTGTTGCTCCTGCACCCTCCCTCCTGGCCACACACTGCACTCTCCCTTGCTCCTGCTCCCTCCCCCTGGCCAGACACTACTCCCAGCCTGCTTCTGTACCCTACCTCCCACCCAACCTTGCAACCTCTCCCCCTTCTGCACCCTGCCTCCCTCTCAGATGCTGTACCCCATCCCTATTCCACTCACTGGCAGCTCTGTCTGGCACACTGAATCATTGTGAATAAGATAACACCCCAGGGACTAAGGGGGTCCATAAAATCCACTAACTCCAGAACTCCGGAAAAGTAAATCTGGCCTATGGGAAACCCTGAGCCTCAGTCCTCCCTGTCCTTTCCCCTCATCCGTTAGGGCTGGAGCACCAGAGGAGTGAGGTGTCTCAATTGGGGGCCACCTCAGTGAGGGTTGCAGGTTTTTTTGAGGAGTTTTTTTGCTTCTCACTTGTGTGGCCCCCAACTGATTTTTCTGTGGGTCAGTGGCCCCAACCCAAAAAAGGTTCCTCACCCCTTTTACTTTATTTAAAATGAAGTTTGATAAACTAACACAAGAAAGTTTAAACGCTAAATCTGTTCAATAATTTATGTAATTAACGTAATTATGTAATTAATGGTGAGTTTCCATTAGCAACTGGTGGTCCGCAGAAAGGTTTACAGTGAGCCAGGTGGGCCACAGGTCAAAAAGTTTGAGAACCACTGCTTGTGTGGGCTCCTCAGCCCCAGTGCCGCCTCCTCCCACTGCTACTAGGCACAGCTTTTGAGGTTCAAAATCTCAGCCAGAGTCTGAGGCAGTTTTCTCCTTTCCTCCACATCTCACCTCTCTTCCTACCCCTTTCATTTGATGCTTACTAGCTGTAGAAATGGAATAGTTTGTGAAAGTGTCTCTCTCTAAACTGGAGCAACAAA